ATTGTCTGGAATTCTCCCAATAGGGCCTTCCTTTGCGTTCTTTCAGCGTCACGAACTTCGGACCGACATCCACCGAACGTGGGGTAATGATCATGCCATCTCTAGACTTTGGCTGCGCATTTAAAAAGCATTATTTAAATAATTCACACAAGAAATTCCAATTCTTTTCACTTTAACAGAATCCTATAGTACTACAGTATTACTGTATGAAATCACAAAGGGGATTGTAACCTAAACTTCTTGGCGCGGTACACGTCGAACTTTTCCTTGGTGAATCACAATTACATTTTTAACAGTGAATTTGGAAACGATCAGTAGTGTTAAATAGTATTCACTCCAATGCCAAATGTTCTTCGCTGGAATTTCGTGTGGAACTGCTGTAGATGATGCCGAAATCAATCACAGGACCAAAGCTAATTAAACGAATGGAATTCTTCGAAGTGTTCCGGGAAGGTTCACATAATTCGTTTTCTAGAGCAATTCTTCAGAGTTGGTTAAAATTACTTGTTTGAAAGCCAGGTGTTCGTAGCTTGTCAGGCATTAAAACTCGATTCAAGTTACCCTTGTTGGAGAGGAATGAAACCAACACATGATTATTGATGTGATAAGTACACTGGTTTTCTTTCTTTTTTCGCCTAGCATCAAGTGCCACAAAAACTTTATCTTTTCCGAGAAGTATAAACACAGCATGGAGTTTCAATTTTTTTCTGGAGAAGCTAGGGAATATATAGGAAAATGCCTGAGCAATTCAAATCAGTTGACTCGCTTTAAAACAGGAAAATACGGCTTGGAAGCTTTTCAAACTTGAGATGAATCAGGGAAAAATCCGTATCAGTGTAACTTTTCGCCAGAAAATCGAAAGTTGTTTGCACTCCGTTCACGAAGTATATACTGAAGTACTTCACCCTATGACAGCATTTGGACTTTTTCATTACATGCCCAAAGCAATACACGTTCACAAAGCTTCCGCATGATCTTCGATTTAATCAGTTAACATTAAAGGAAATATTTTATTTAGCATACTAAATAAAATATAGGTTTGTCGATCTATTCATGTCGTAGCACATCTCATAAGCTTGTTGATGACATTATATCTGAACTACAGTACGATCTTTGCTTTTTCTTAAGGCAGATGGGGATACAATTAAAATCTTGTATTAATTGTATTCTTCTGACCCATTTATCGATGCTTTCAAATGTTTCGTCAGTGTCACGCGTCATCGACGTAGCCTGGGAAGGACTGGGCACACTCTTGGACAAAAAGGAGCGAACAGCATTGCTGGTTCTATTCGAAGAGGGTCGCTTTTGTCTTTTGGCATTTCGACCAGGTTTACTGGGTTCTCTCATCCTGCCACTCACATTGGTGGGAGACTCGAGAACGCGATCATCAAGTGGAACATCGAAAAATTCGTCCATGCCGCCTGCTGACGTTTCCGGGTTTTCCAACACAGTCAGTTCCGACACTTGCGGTGAAAAGGAAAAACCCTACTTATACAAAGAATTTCCCGTTATCTGAGGTAATGGCCGGGTCCTCTATGACCGGGGTAATCAAGCAGTGCGGATATTCGATAACTACACTATACATGCTCATTCAAGAGACAATTATTCATAAACATCATTCAACTCGTTATATTGGATTTCCCTCAAGTTTTTGACTTTCATTATTTAATTGATTGATCGGTATTAGTGTATAAAAGCTTCCTTGAGGGCTCGTCAGCATTCACAAGGTTAAAAATAAATGTTTCCGATGCACATGAACAAAAGATGACAAAAAATAAAACAAAAATCCCAGCACAGGATAATTACTATCACAAATGAAAACACAAGGTTTTCAGCCTGTTCCCAGATAATTTTCAATTGACTGAACAATTCAGAGAGAATTTTCAAAGGGAAAGCACATAAAGCTGACAGTTTTTCCCTATTCCTCTAAGATTTGGGAGAGGACCTTTTTTAATCAATTTGTGGGAATCATAAGTCGTATAATTATCCTAGTATGCAAAATTCGTAAATCGCAAAAAACTGAGCGGCTAAAGTTGAAACGATGAAGTTGCATAACACTCGTATTTAGTTCTCACGATGGAATCGAAATTTTGGCCTCGTTAATTGAAAGACATAAAATCGCGTTATTGCACTATAAAATGTTATGAAAGACGGAGATATACCTTGAAGTAGGGAAATTCGTCTTATCTGCGAATGAGAGATGCCTTTTATTTAATAGTCATTTTCTCCGGAGTATACGCTTACTCTACGCATGGTGTATATTATAGTTCCCGCCTTAAATTTCTCGAATGGTTCGAAGATTTAAAAAAAAAGATTGTTCGTTGTGTGTCCTTTATCCGTAAAAATGCAGCAAGGATATACTGTAATTACTTTACCTAAACTTTTTGAAGATTGTGTTGTTCAGGAGCTATGATGTGAATCTATTCAGGAATCTAGCGTACCATTGGATAAAAATGCCAAGACATATTTAAAATTATCTTATAAGATGGTTCCAAAATATTTTAGCAATTTTTAAAAGAAGAGACCAGCAGTGCATCTCAATCAGTGCTCAAAAATCAAGGTATTTCATAGGTACCATAATTAATAGCATATGTGTTGGATGTCTAGTTTTATTTTGCAGAGTGGGTTCTCTCTTTTGTTTTTGTCATTGGTTTGTCCTTTGTTTCATGCTTTAAAGTGATTGAATGTCTTTGGGGGGAGTTGGGTTGGGGGGGGAGGGGGTTTGGATGCGGGAGTCTTGGTTGTGCCTTGTGAACGNTTAAAGTGATTGAATGTCTTTGGGGGGAGTTGGGTTGGGTGGGGAGGGGGCTTGGATGCGGGAGTCTTGGTTGTGCCTTGTGAACGCTGAAAAGCGGCAAATAAAGTGTTCTGTTCATTCATAATAGCTTTCACTGCAGGCTTTGGCTAGATTCTTCACATGCCCTGTCAATAACAATCAGAAACCTCACCAGGAGGAAGCTTGAGTTCATCTTTCACCCCAGATGCCCTCAAGTGTCGACGGTGCTTGGGGAAGTCGTCAACGACTCTTTCCGGCTGTGCCTCGACGACGTTCTCACCGTCAGCCATTTCTTCATCAGCATTCCACCAACCTCGAACAACCTGATCAGATTCCATTTCTGGGGCTCTGGTAGCTTCTGAGGCTATTGTTGCCGTGTGCTCAGTCCGAGCACTTGGCTTGGATAATTCAGGTGCTCTTTTGGCACTTGATGGCCGACGACGACTGATCGATGACTGTACCTTGGGTTTGTTATTGTTATTAGTCTGGAAGGGGATATTGGCATTGCGTTGTGGGTCTCCGAGATGCACGAGTCCATCGGTTTTCTTCAGTTGGTACATGGTGTTCACCGTAGGATCCGATTTCCTGAGTCTTGAGGGATTGAAAGCTTGTCCCTTGAAAGACCAAAGATGATGTACAGTATTAGGATTTACGTGACAGTTCTGAGCACGGGAACAAAGTCAGTTTCAGATCCACAGATGTACTTTGGATAGCAATGAATGGCTTATAAAATGCGACATTGTCATCTTTACAGCATTTTCTTTTTTACTCTTCCTTCCAGTAATGCATCAACAAGGGTTAAATTTGTACTTTCTGGCATTCCCTTGCACCTTAGCAGATGACATTTTGTGCTGCCACATACTTTCTGTTTTCCATCCTTGTGGACATGCTTCACCACCAAGGGTTACACAACCCTCTCCAAAACAAGGTCAGATCCAGGTCTGACCGCAGTTGCCCAATTCTGTCTTATCAAATCTATAAAGCCACCTGTTCATGTTGGTACTGGGGCTCATTGCTACATGTGAGTCTATTGTACATTTTGTTGAATATGGAAATACACTTAATCTTTTATATAATTTGAGGAGTTGTTGAATTCTACCTGGCAACAGGAATCAAGAAAATCTTCTCTCTGAAGAATTGTCAATTTAACTACTTGAAGAACATACAATGGTAGGTTCTGTGCCTATAAAATCTTGGAGACATCCAAGATCAAATATTCATAAAACATCAAGGTGGTTAATATCTGACAACAGATTACTCATTGAATAGAATATTATCAAGCATAAGCCTCAACGTCAACTTTCTGGAATTCAAAATATTTTTGGATACCCAGTAAAAGAGAACCACTTAGTTTCTCAAAGCCTGTATGAGCATCCATTGACATGAAAGCATATTTTTTATTTTTAAGGGAGAGAAGGGCATAATCAAGTGTGAAACGTAGTACAGTACTGCACTCTGAATTTCTTTCTGAGAGAACTCACACTGTCCGTTGCATTTGTGGTGACTGCGGAACTTGGAATTACAGCAGGCGGAATTACAGGCGGGTTTCCGGTTATTTTAGGCTGATCTTCCATGTCAGGAGATTTCTTTGTAAACACAGAGTAAATCTTCGCCAGCTTCTACCAAAAATTTCCCCCTTGGAGATTCGCTGAAGGTTTCTCAGCAAAGGAGTATCATGCTCATCTTCTCCAGATAATCCACCCTGGCTGAAATGGAATTGAGCATAAACTTTCGACTATTTGAAATATGTAAATTTTTTATTCTAATCCGCTAGATGCATGTTCGCCATAGCAGTGGGATATCAAATGTAACAACCTTACAAATAAAATCTGCTAATTAACATTCATTTATGCATCTGGCAACTACCAAAATTGTAAATCATTTGTAGTCGCGATGATATTAAATATGTTGGCATCTCTTTGCTCTCTCAAAAATACAAAGCCAGTAGTTCATCACATTGATGTGGTACAATAAGATTTCAAATTTAATACTGCACCAAATAATGAATAGCCTTCAATAATATCTCAAACGTAATCATGCATTATTGAAGAAATTCATTGCTGTAAATGGCAGTTGTGAATTAAAATTTCTATTGGAATATATTTCAATTGAAGTGTGGTGCCGCAATTTACGCCACAATTTTGATCACATGACCCGAGCATGCTACACATACTCAGGCACGTTACGGAAACCATACACTGGTATGGCTTGGCACGCGGCACAGCATTCCTGCTGCACACCCGGTATGTTGCAATAAGGACTACTGGGTCAGAGATGACAATTGGGGAGAGGAGGAGGAATAGTTCCAAGCCATGTAGCTGAGGGCTCCAAAGCCCAGAGATAATTACGTAGCGATCAGAGGCAGAGCTCATGCGTGGGTCTTCACTGAACTGCTGATAGAATTATTTGCATTTGTCTGAGACTTGTCTCATTACTGTGGTTGTTGTTGAGTACCTGTATCTGTNTTTCACAATTGTCTTCCGCGTGCTTTGCGGGTAAAAGGATTTTTAACAGTTAAATAAGTAAGCACCAGGATCTCTGCTGAGAGGCAAGCAATATGTATTTCAGTGCACAACAGTCCGCGAGTGAGTCAGGACACGAATGCTGAATAGTATAGGACAGTACACTGAGTTTTAAAGGTGGGCAGCCAACAGGTTTGCTCCAAAAGAATAGATACACACACATATATGACCGCGAGAGGACAGCGAGCTGGATAGCTGGCTGGCCACGAAGCAGGTGCGCGTGACGGGCGTATGCATATCTATATGCATGTTAGAAACAAAAAGAGAGAGAACAGGGTGCATGAAAACACGTAGAGAAAATAGGAGTCAGTATATGCTGCTCGTAAAAATAATTTTGGATCACAGTACTCTGAATTTCTTTCTGAGAGAACTCACACTGTCCGTTGCATTTGTAGTGACTGCGGAACTTGGAATTACAGCAGGCGGAATTACAGGCGGGTTTCCGGTTATTTTAGGCTGATCTTCCATGTCAGGAGATTTCTTTGTAAATACTGTACAGAGTAAATCTTCGCCAGCTTCTACCAAAAATTTCCCCCTTGGAGATTCGCTGAAGGTTTCTCAGCAAAGGAGTATCATGCTCTTCTCCAGATAATCCACCCCGGCTGAAATGTGATTGAGCATAAACTTTCGACTATTTGAAGTATGTAAATTTTTTTATTCTAATCCGCTAGATGCATGTTCGCCATAGCAGTGGGATATCTAATGTAACAACCTTACAAATAAAATCTGCTAATTAACATTCATTTATGCATCTGGCAACTACCAAAATTGTAAATCATTTGTAGTCGCGATGATATTAAATATGTTGGCATCTCTTTGCTCTCTCAAAAATACAAAGCCAGTAGTTCATCACATTGATGTGGTACAATAAGATTTCAAATTTAATACTGTACCAAATAATGAATAGCCTTCAATAATATCTCAAACGTAATCATGCATTATTGAAGAAATTCATTGCTGTAAATGGCAGTTGTGAATTAAAATTTCTCTCGGAATATATTTCAATCAAAGTGTGGTGCCACAATTTACGCTGCGATTTTGATCACGTGACCCGAGCATGTTACACATACTCAGGCACGTTACGGAAACCATACACTGGTATGGCTTGGCATGCGGCACAGCATTCCTGCTGCACACCCGGTATGTTGCAATAAGGACTACTGGGTCAGAGATGACAATTGGGGAGAGGAGGAGGAATAGTTCCAAGCCATGTAGCTGAGGGCTCCGTTCGGGTCTCTATTAATGCATCGCTAGTCTCCGTCTCGAGTACGCACCCAGAAGTGACTTGACGACTATCTTAATAAACGTAAACAGACTCTGAACAGAGTAATGACACCAACAACAACTCATGGACTATCTGTGTGCTTGTGATCAAGAAGTAAAGGTGCTTCTTCTTGGGACTCCCTTCAGGAGGATCTGGCCGTTAAAGGCTGATTCTGTTCTTACTTTATTTCCTGAACTCTTGTCGTTTTCCAGCCCGACATGAAGCAAAATGTGGGATTCGAAACTAGAGTGAAACTGGCTCAGATGGGCAGCATTTGTTTTGATAGGGAACAGCATTGAACAACATGGAAAAAGCCTGGGTAAGTATCTGTGATCGGATTTTAGCCAGGATTCTGGACGTGAATCGAATTCCTTGCACAGAAGAAACAAGAATACTGAACCCCAATCCAAAACACGCGCTGTGCATCTTTAATAAGGTCTCAGGCGCGCCTTTGCATGAATATCTAAAGAAAATCGTGACCTCATTTGTACCCAACTCGGTCTTCACCTTTATCGCCACTTCCTCTCTGCAACGTCTTCGATATCCTCAGACGTTTTGTAAAATAAAATAAAATAAACATAAATATAAACGATGGTCATTTATTCCCAATGAAATGATTGAATTATATTCCATGCGCGAGAATATCTGTTGAAAATATGTTAAAAAAAATAAAATAAAAAAAGATACATGCAGCACATTCTACGCGAAAATATTTATCAAAATTTTTCTTCGCGTCTAAAGAAACGTTAAAAAATATTTGGTCCGAAGTGTTCTAGTGTTGGGAGCCCGTCTCAAATGACTTGTCGTTTTTTAACTGTTTCAAGTATATAACTAGGTGCAGATGTAACTCTAACTGCAATCTAAGGAGTCAAGTTACGATAATAACCTCTCTCCATATTTTCGATGGTCAATTAAAGGATTTCCAGAGTTTTCTTGATTGTTTCGGTTTTCTTCTTACTGGATAAATGAGACAATTTTGTTCTATTATTGAGGTTCATACACCACTTGGACTTTGTAAAATTCGTTTTAGCCAAAAATTTGTTGCAGGAGGATCTCTCTAAGTTGAATTTGAAGGGGGGAAAATAATTTGAATTAAAGAGTTCAAGTTATAAAGGTTTTGGAAATTTTTCTTGAAAATGCATGCAGTAATAAGTAAATAAGACTGAAATTTCCCCTGCAACTGTGTGTTGTGTGTCCAAGAGAAATTTATTACTTATTCACACTGCTTAAAAAAGGCCAGCCACAGGAAAATTAAGTATAAATCACTCAAGCCCAGATTTTCTGGACATATTAAAGTTGCTCATTTTCTTTTGAAAAGCGTTACCACTTGAATGTTTTAACCTTTCTCGTAGTCGAAAATGTCAAGTCGAGGTGGTTCACAGTTAATTGAAGCACTGCAAGTTAAGGAGACTCAGGTTACATTGTTTTAAAGAGACTTCGGACAGTGACTATAAATACATTGAGTATAAAGGAGGTTTTTCACTTCATAAGGAGGTTCGTGTTAAAGAGAACCAACTGGAGGTGTGTAATAGAATTTACTGTATGTCTTGTGCGATACGAGGCTCTATAAAAATGGAGCAAATAATTCCTTAACAATCAACTTGCTCAAATGCAGCTACAAAATAAAGAGGATCATTTTTGTCTGCCTGATTTTATAACTAATCAATTTGTATTCCTTCCATATATAGTGGATATGGATCCGAGATCGCGCTTTTTCCAGTCACTGCCCTCGATTTCTTGAGGGCATTGTTTGAGCAAAATATCCTGTACCTGTGATGCGTAAATACGGTGTCCTCCAGCTTTTTCCAAAGAAAAGAAAAAAAAAGAAGAAACCGTATACATCAACAGGCGAAGCATAAAAGTGCCACAACAGCAGACCTCCTTGTATGCCGTCACGGATATCAGAGACAAAGATGTCCAACGCTATANAACAGTTGCATGTGGGCACCCCCTCTTCCACATCCAAGTTTTCAAAACTAAAATGTGTACAATGCCCAGGTGTGGCTGGGCACCCCCAGCTTGTCAAGAAGTAAAGGTGCTTCTTCTTGGGACTCCCTTCAGGAGGATCTGGCCGTTAAAGGCTGATTCTGTTCTTACTTTATTTCCTGAACTCTTGTCGTTTTCCAGCCCGACATGAAGCAAAATGTGGGATTCGAAACTAGAGTGAAACTGGCTCAAATGGGCAGCATTTGTTTTGATAGGGAACAGCATTGAACAACATGGAAAAAGCCTGGGTAAGTATCTGTGATCGGATTTTAGCCAGGATTCTGGACGTGAATCGAATTCCTTGCACAGAAGAAACAAGAATACTGAACCCCAATCCAAAACACGCGCCGTGCATCTTTAATAAGGTCTCAGGCGCGCCTTTGCATGAATATCTAAAGAAAATCGTGACCTCATTTGTACCCAACTCGGTCTTCACCTTTATCGCCACTTCCTCTCTGCAACGTCTTCGATATCCTCAGACGTTTTGTAAAAATAAAATAAAATAAACATAAATATAAACGATGGTCATTTATTCCCAATGAAATGATTGAATTATATTCCATGCGCGAACATATCTGTTGAAAATATGTAAAAAAAAATAAAATAAAATAAAATAGATGCAGCACATTCTACGCAAAAATATTTGTCAAAATTTTTCTTCGCGTCTAAAGAAACGTTAAAAAATATTTGCAGGCTTCACAAGATCACAACCCTCGGGCAGAGTTTACTGAACAGCAAAAAATTGACAAAGTTCATATATTGATCCACGTCTACATTGAGATTGACGTTAGATTCCTCAGTTCAATGCTATTATTGGCCTCTCCATATTTTTGGGGGTCAGTTAAAGGATTTCAATAGTTTTCTTGATTGTTTCGGTTTTCTTCTTACTGGATAAATGAGACAATTTTGTTCTATTATTGAGGTTCATGCACCACTTGGACTTTTTAAAATTCGTTTTAGCCAAAAATTTGTTGCAAGAGAATCTTTCCAAGTTGAATTTGAAGGGAAAAATATTTTGAAAAAGAGAGGTCAATTAGTTATAAAGGTTTTGGACATTTTGCTTGAAAATGCAGGCTGCAATAAGTAAGTAAGACTAAAATTTTCGCTGCAACTGTGTGTTGTGTGTCCAAGAGAAATTCATTACTTATTCACACTCATTACTTATTAAAAAGGCCAGCCACAGGAAAATTAAGTATAAATACATAATGCAGAACCTCATGCCCAGATTTTATGGGCATATTAAAGTTGCTCATTTTCTTTTTTAAAAGCATTACCACTTGAATGTTTTAACCTTTCTCGTAGTCGAAAATGTCAAGTCGAATTGGTTCACAGTTATTTGAAACACTGCAAGTTAAGGAGGTTCAGGTTACATTGTTTTAAAGAGACTTCGGACAGTGACTATAAATACATGGAGTATAAAGGAGGTTTTTCACTTCATTAGGAGGTTCGTGTTGAAGAGAACCAACTGGAGGTGCGTAATAGAATTTACTGTGTGTCTTGTGCGATACGAGGATCTATAAAAATGGAGCAAATAATTCCTTAACAATCAACTTGCTCAAATGCAGCTACAAAATAAAGAGGATCATTTTTGTCTGCCTGATTTTATAACTAATCAATTTGTATTCTTTCCATATACAGTACAGTATACTGAATATGGATCCTAGATTGCGCTTTTTCCAGTCACTGCCCTCGATTTCTTGAGGGCATTGTTTGAGCAAAATATTCTGTACCTGTGATGCGTAAATACGGTGTCCTCCAGCCTTTTCCAAAGAAAAGAAAAAAAAAGAAGAAACCGTATACATCAACAGGCGAAGCATAAAAGTGCCACAACAGCAGACCTCCTTGTATGCCGTCACGGATATCAGAGACAAAGATGTCCAACGCTATAGCTGCTATGTAGACCCCCGAAAATTACGCCAAAAAGGTGCAGCACGCGGGACAGTTCCTGGACAGCAGAGGGGGAAACACACACACATATATGCCCCCCGTTGAGTGTGTTTTTTCTTCAGAAGCGCGTCGCCATAGAAACCCCTTCAACGGAGCCAAAACACAAACGTCGCTGTCGGTCGGCCCCCGTCTTTGTCGCTTGTTGCAAAAAAAAAAGGAGAACCCCCCCCCCCTCCCCTTGTGTTCTAGTAGCGAAACGTCCTGCAGCTGAATGACTGACGTGTCGGGGGGGTTCCTGTCAAAAGTTTATGCCAAAGCGTTTTCAACTGCAGATGATGGAATGTGCACCACGCAAGTAAACAGTGAGGCCCCCAGATGCAGACATATTTGGTGCATCAAGAGTGTCCCTAACTTGAATTGTCCCTAAGTTGAGTCTTGTTTTCCCATAGACTTACATTATATAATTTTTAATNAACTTGAATTGTCCCTAAGTTGAGTCTTGTTTTCCCATAGACTTACATTATATAA